GCCGAGTGGATAAAAGCGCCGGAATTCGACGCTTAGCCGGAAGTGAGAGCCCGGTTCAAGCCCCGGTGCGGGCGGCCACATTTAGCTCCTACGTGTAATGGCGTGCGTGTCTGTGGCAGGGGCCGCACAGAAGCCAGGAAGCGTGAGTGAGCGGAGGGGACCGTGTCCAGTCGTGAGGGCACGTTAAAGGGACCCTCCCACCTTCAAAAAAGTTTATGAATTGGCATGAAAGTGATGTCGCTGGGTTCAGAAAGAGCGAAAACGAATATCTACCAAATTTCACCGAAAAATATTCACCGGTTTTCAAGATATTAGACTTTTACTTTTGTTTACTTTTTTGGGATCTCCGCTGTTTCTAGCGACTTTATTTTAGAAGTGCGACGTTTGCGGCAGATGTTGCGCGCAAATAGCATATACCACCGCGTGCTACAAAACGTTTTAGTCAAACATTTAAAAATCGTTAGATATCTGCGCTGACGTCACACATTCAGAGGGGTATTCCTAAGCATTAGCCCCTCTGAATCAAAATGATGCAATTTTGAAATTCAATATTTCCGATTTAAGGCATTTCTCGATGTTGTGAGTGCCGAAACCGGTAATTGTGAGCCAGGGACCCCATTTTGGCTATCTCAACTCAAATCTAATGTTAACCCATTTATGCCCAGGAATATTGACCATCATGAAAATCGATGAAATCAAAATATGTTATGCTCCTACCAGGGCCTTGTGTGGAATCGAAAATAATTTTTGCCTGCAGCAAAAGTTTTTCGAGAAAAACGTAAAAAACGTGCGTTGCGAAATCGCAACGAAGGGCACACCAGGCGCCATCTGCGTTGCGAAAACGCAACGACGGGCACACCAGGCGGCCATAAAGTACACTGAACTGTCGTATATATGCTAATTTGTTTTGAAAACATTAATCAACTGTGGACAGCTATTGCTTGAAAATGCGGAACCCATCCCTCATGCTCTATAACCCGCCTAAAAGCCTCAGTGGGGGAGCATAACTTCAGGATTCGCGAACGGGGAGGTGACAACAAACGGTCATTATCAACAACAGTTGTCCATTTAAAGTTGTGGTCGACACGTACCCAGGGTGACGCTTTCTTCTTGGATGCTAGACAGAGCCATTATCCCCACCTATCAGACCTCACACTGAAAACAATCAAACGGAGGTTGGGAGTAAACCAGTGCCTCACGTATACGCGTATCCGCAATGATCGTTAAGCACCCTCCTAGGAGTAAAATTAAATTCCATTGCAGGTTAGTCGTACCCACTCTCAGCAAAAAAGAGAAAAAAAATGAACCGATCCGGCTTTCACAAATTACCCGCGCAAGGCGTAGCGCATCATAACAAATCGCCTCCCAGTTTACCACGTTTACACCTGATCCAAAATTTTCATGGCCCCACTCTCAGCGACCTTCACGTGTAACCTCTTTCTCGAGGCAATACCAGGACAGAATGGTGGTTCGACGCAGCGGCACACTTTTCAACTGTTTCGTGAATCCGTCCTTTCCATCTTCAGGATAGTTGAATCCTTCTTCTCCACGCCTCAACCCCCTTTCCGGGCTGGACGGGCAACTATAGATGTATTGCATTCGGGCAGATCACAAAGGAGCACGCCTGTAGCCGGGTGCAGTGAGTGCTTGGGAGGGGGAGGGGGGCTGGGTCATGGGTGGCCTGCCCACTGGCTGGGCTCAGTCTCGACGATTAAACGTGCCCGCTCAGACAAATGTCTCCGCTAATTCCAGTAATACTGCTAGCTCTAAAATGGTCTGATTCGATAAAAGGCTTATCCCAAGTGTGAAAACAAGCGTATACTCCACATCAAGTAGCTTATTAATCTATGCAAGTTATGAATCCTAAAAAATGACTATTTTCCCAGACGCCCTCATTACCCCTGCCGAAGGGCTCTGCTACCCACAGAGGGGGCCTATCCCACTATTTGCCGACCCTGAGTTATCTTTTCTAACGTAAAGGTTGGTAGTCAGCAGATTGTATCCAGAGAATGGCAATGCCTATCTGTCGTCTGATACCAGACTACATCCCCGTTATTTATCATATATGACCTATCCGTGCTTCTATCCTCAGGATACTGAAATCCCTCTCCTCCACGCCACAACCCCCTCCGGGCTGGACAGGCAACTTTATCTCATGCGGGCTGCTCCCTTGGAACGGCACCGCTGCTCCCAAGGGAGCGCACCCCGTAGCCGGGTGCAGTGAGTGCCTTGGGGCTGGGTGGCCTGTCCTCTGGACGGGCTCAGCCCCGGCGACTCACTAGGGTGCCTGCCCAGACCAATGTCTCCCCCTAACTCCTATCATCCTTCCGGCTCTGCAATGGTCTTGTCAGACCGAAGGGGCCTAACCCAACAAAACAAAAAAAAAACAAAAAAATTTATCATATACATATGTACAATGTATGTACATAGTCGATCCAATTTCCAAAGGACCCTCTCAGGTCCGTTAGCATCGCCGACCGTTTGATGCAGGTCCTCTTCCTATCATGCGATTTTCAGATGTATGGGAACACATTGCTTAGTGAACGAACATCCCGATAATCTGTGAGAGAAAAAGAAAGGAGTGTTTGTAGCTGTTTGAGGCAGTAAATGTGAAATATGTCGCAACATTTTAAGCGCAAACGCACCTTGCACTTAACATACCTATACACGTCCCTCATGACTACAAAACGGGAGAGAGAAAGAGAGAGAGAGAGAGAGAGAGAGAGAGAGAGAGAGAGAGAGAGAGAGAGAGAGAGAGGGAGGGAGGAAGAGAGGTGGGGGAACGAGGAAGAGATGGAGGAAGATGGGAGAGAGAAAGAAAGAACCCACAGCGTATCACGAGTGAAGTCTATTGTTGATATTCATACTTTCCCTACCCTACCAATGTGCCCCTCGTTGCGTTTTCGCAACACCGCTGTCTTTCCGATGTGCCCTTCGTTGCGTTTCCGCAACGCCACCGTAGTCACATTTGAAAATAGTCACAAACCCTTTTTGCAGCGTGATTTCTTAACAAAATGCATATCTAAGCTATTGTAGGGACTCTGCAGAATATGTTTACACAATCTTCATTACGATATCATTAAGCACTTAGCCTATTTATCTTGTTTTTTCGTGACGTCATCACTCACAAGACCTTCGACTTCCCTCTGGGAGCTCTAGGCAGTAACTTACCGGCCGCACAGACTTGTAACTGCGTAGCATCATGCGCACAACCATGCTACACACGCTGAAACTTGTCTCATCGGTTAGCCGCCATTACACACTTCTCAAGCTTCGATTACGTCGACGCTTACTTGCGTTGCGAAAACGCAACGAAGGGCGTAAATGGGTTAAGGTGGGAGGGTCCCTTTAAACCAGCGGTCGGCAGGCCCTCCGGGGTCGTGCCCCCTTTTCGGGTGCCAGGCAGGGCCATTACCCCCACCCTACCAGACACCATTGCATACACAACCGAGCTCACTGAAATGTCATACCTTTCCGTGACTCTTTGGGTATTTTTGGTATTATTATGTAAAAACGTCGGATCACGACACAATTTTACCCTCGAGCCGATCATTTTTTTATCTGCCATAAAACATGTCATACATTGACAGAAATAACTGTTGACTTGTTAGGCAGTTGTTTCTTGAGGTCATGGAATGTCATAAAATTTCAATTCTAGAAGGTACAGCGGGTTCTGATCTACTACACAATTGTCATTGACCCTTTGAAAGTCTTAAGTCACCCAATGGCCAAGGAAGTTAACCGTCATCCGTATTGGTGTTTTGCCAGCCGCTAATTTATGGGGGGAGAAATTCGTTGGACCCCTCTTTGTCGTTCGGCCCCTGATCAAGCATGAGCTTCGCGGAAAAAAACGAGCGTGTGCCCGTGACGAGAGGAAGCTGATGATACGCGATTTTAAGGTCTTAGGTCATCGATTGACCTTCCAGGTCGGCTCAATGACCCAAAAAGTCGGAAAATCGAGACCTGTCAGAACTTCGTAAAGTGAGGATGTTGTGGAGTTTGTCGGGGTACTGATCACGAATTTTATCTAAGTTTTGATCACAGATGTCTTCGTGCATTTAGGCCAGGTCGGGTCAGGTCAGGTCAACCAATAGGCGTCCTGCCGGGTATTTATAGTAATAGGCAATAGGCATCAACAACCACTGACAGCTTCGTAACATGTTACGAAGGCACCAAAATTACTTGGTATATGTTCAAATGGTTGCGAAATTCTAGCTACAATGTATAAAATTGATAAACCTGTACTGAAAATGTCATCGCGATCGGCCGCTTTTTGCGCGAGTTATTCGCGAAAACCCGAGGAAAAGGGGGGGGGTCCCCTATAAGTGCGAAGGTTAAAATTGGGTAGCAGCGTCTTCCTATCGTCACGGGTTGCACGTTCATTTTTCTACCGCAAAGCTCCAGTTCAGATTTCAGAGGCCGAGAGGCTGGGGTCCGACCGGCCCCTCCCCGTTTACGTTAGCTGTTATGAAAACGCCAATAGAGGGGCGACGGTTAGTGTTCGATCTTTGAACCCTGAGACCAAACATGGCGTGATGTCTGTCCCATCAAGGGAGACATTAATTCTAAGATAAGGCTTTCTCAGAGGCCCCCATTACCCCCGCCGAGGGGCTCCATTACCCCCAAAGGGGGCATGCCCCACCATTTGCCGACCCCTGCTTTAAACGTTCGGACAAAATTCTGTCATACAACTGGAATTGCGCGATCGGGTGGTGGGATCAGGGTCAGCACAACAAGCTATGCTTAGTGCGGGCTCTGATTCCTCAAATCCGCCCATTCAGCCATTCGGACTAAATTTATAAAAAAAAGGTTTTCAATGATTTAGTAGCTGTGTTCTAGAGCAGCATATGCTTTATTTATCTGTATATTTTTTGTTTAAAATTTAGGAAAAGAATTTTGGATAACCACACAATAAAATTTTTCCTAGTCGACTATGCAAACTGTATTTCAAAGTTGCTAATTGATGCAATTCAGGTTCGCAAATTTTTAGTCGATCGTCACCTCTATGCAATATGGCCGTTGACAAAGAAGGAAGCAAACGAAAGGAGGCGGGTAAATATTGCAAATAAATTCGAGTTTAGGGTTCCTGGTGGTGGGAAGTGTAATCTAACAGGAAGATGGTATACTAGCAACCTCCTTTCAATCGGTTCTGCTTCGCAGGTAAAGGTGATTGGTCTTGTTTGATGCATTTTGAGTCTGGTTGCGTATGGCGTCGTTTTCTGTGCCGCGGGTACGCCCTTTCACTTTCATGCCATCCCTCTGTTGATATTCCATGTCTTTGTATGGTAGACGTCTTTGTTCATTCTGTTTTGCATGCTGAATTTCGTATTCACCTTTTCACACCGTCTATTTACTCGTGTTTTCACTTTTGCTAGCAAGCCATATTTGTCTCACCAGCTTGCAAAGCATGTCAAGGCCATTGGCTGCCTGAAATCGAAAGTTGTTGTTCTTTGCTTGGGCTGCGACTCTGTTGATCAAATGTTTGTACATATCCTCAGTAGTTTGTGGCTGCATGTGTTCTGCTCATCTGCATTGAAAAGTGCCTAATGCCTGCATTCTACACACTTTCCTGCGTTGTATTAGTTGTGTATTGATGTTGAGTGCATTTCAGTTCGGGACTCGGGTGCCCCATGCCAGTGCATTATGTCATCTTTATTTTGGTTTGCTTCTGTTTGGTTTGTCAGAAGCTCATGCTTGCTTAATTGCATCATATTTTGACTAAGATATGCTCTTGTCTTTGTTTGACTGGGTCCATTAATTGCGAAATTAACTTAAGATAAATTAAATTTGTACTTATTAAAGCTGGCATTACCCATGTCTCACTATCAAGATTTGCCATTTTATAAAGGGTGTTGTATTTGGCTGCTTCAGATTACTAATTTGCAATGGGAAATGAAAATATAATTTATAAGCATGTAGCTGTAAAGTAATAGCCTAAAAAATCAACCTGGCTGAAGGTAGACTGGATAGTTGCTCATACCGCTCCTCTAAGGATTCTGAACAACTAAAATTACATTTTAGATGGCCAATTGGTGAAAAAATTGGCAGAGGTTGAATAACAAACAATAGGAAGTGACAAATGATATGATACAATATCACCAAAAGATAACATAACATTCTTTACACTCCAAATCTAACCTAACCCATAATAGATAGTCACTAGGTAGTCACCAGATAAGTAGTCACTGGGTGAAGGTCGCATTCAGAAGGGCACTGTCATAAGTCATTTAATTAGGCTGGGGTCTGGACCAGTACTGGGCCCTGTCTCACCGATGATAGCAGCACGCTGCTATCACACTTGTCAAATTGGGTTTTCATGGAAGCATCTACAAACCATGGCGTCGTCAAACTGTGTGATGTCATCAAATATTGCTGCTAACATATTCACGGCCGTGCGAATGTATCAAACGCATTCAACGAGACAGCAACTCTGTTCCAAACGTAGCTATGAAAAGGCTCACAGATTATACGAAACGTCATCAGTGTGAGGTCATCACATTATGTCAGCTCGCGCAATTTGATAGTAGCGTGCTGCTATCACCAGTGAAACACGGCCCAGGCGAACACCTTCAATTAAGGGGGGCATTGCCAACTTTTGGTCCCATCCTTTCCATGCAACGCCCATAGGGCTAATGTTAAAATAACAAAACCAAGGGGGCACGGTGCCCCCGTTACGCTGCCTATGGTCTGGACTAAAGTTTAATTGTCCAATGCAATGGCAAAGTTAGTAGATGATTTATGATGAAACTGCATGCTTATGACAAGATGAATGATGTGTCAAAGACCAGAGCTGATCCTAACTTTCTCAAGTGAAATGATGTTAATCGTCATGCTACTTGACGGAAAACCACAGTAGTGATTTGTGCAATGCCTATTGCCTTTTGTGTTATTTGTCGCAAAGGAAGATAAGAAATTTCATCCATTTGTTAAGTGAGTCAAAGATTAGTTTTGTACACCGCACATCTTACCTTGTGGTGGATCTGGACAACTGGACAATGTAGGAAAAAAATGCCATTACTCTTTATGGGGTCTGAAGTCTCACACTTCATCAATTGTGTTAGTGATTGGAAATTTAACAATGGAAACAGCTATTTCGTCCAATGCTAATATAATGCTCTCTATAACATGCATTGATGGATGCAGTGTCATACTGCACGTAATGGTGTTGATATTTTATGTTTGTTTGTCTCATATGGCCTGGGTCTTGGTCTGTTGGTTCATCGCTCATGTGCACAAACAAATAAGCTATTAAATGTGCATCAATAATATGCTTCCGTGCAATGTAGTTGCTATCAGCAGTGCGCGAGCTGTAAGTGTACGCCCAGCTGCATACCTACACAAATAATTGACCATGATGCGAAAAGTGTCCCCGAAAGTCTGTGTGTGAAACCAGCTGGTATGTATTGGTTCTGTGGTGAAATATGTATTTGGCCCTCGGCGTCTGTAGTTGGGACGTGCTCCTGCGTCCTTGATTGCGTGGCGATTTCACTTCATAATCCGTTTTTCTACATCGATCATACGTACTCTCACCTTGAGTTTTATTGCCTTTTGTAAGTCCAGTTATCTGTCAATAATCTGAAGCAACAGTCAATGAACCCGCCTTCGTCGACTGTCCCAAAATGGCATATCCATTGTTGCGATCTGTTGATACGAAATGGTCTATATGGGTCCGAATTCCGATATCCAGTCAATCTGCGGGCCAGCCCGTGGTCTGCCATGGCTGTCACCCACTTCTGCTCTGCTCCACGGAGCTGATACTTGCCGGGAGCTCGGGGAGTGGGGGGGGGGACACTGTAAGCGGATTAGTCGCCAGTGATCGGCGCTGCTCCGTTACGCGGCCCGACCGGTCACCGGCCGTGGGGGCAGGTGCCGTCAAGGCTGTCCACTGGTCCTGTGTGCACTGTCACCGCCGGGATGTGGTCGATCCGAGTGGCGTGCGCGACATGGCGCGGCCCACCTGTGTGTGATACGGGCGGTCTTGGAGCGGGGGCGGCGGAGGGAAGACGGTGCACTCGCCGTGGAGCTGTGCTAGTGCGTGTGCTGGTAGGTCGGTGTGTTTTAGGATAGTAGTGCGCGCGCGAGGGTGTTGATTAGCTCGAGAGTCGGGACAGCGGTCAAGTACGTCGTTAAAAAGCGGAACTTCTTTCTGCTCGCCCAGACCAGACGAGTGAGACAGCTGACTGAATGTGAGCCTTGGGATCGACGTTTTTTATCGATGAACTGCAGCTGGTGTCAGTTTTCCAGCGGCGTTTTTTGCTGCTGCACTAGACTTTCATACCCATGTTCAATGTTCTCTAAGACCTCAGTAGAGCGACTGGAGGCGACAGACTGAAGTAAGCCCTAGCCGCTAGGGGTCCACTAAATGCGCTACGGTATAGCGTAGGTTGCATGGACTCTTGTGCAACAACAATCTCATAACTAGCGTATTGGGATATGTTTCAAGGCGTTGGGAAAAGAACGAAAATGTTGATAAGTCTTATCCACGAAGGAAATCAATGGAGCTTAATTCAATTACCATAGTGTAGTGGTCAGGCCTTAGACGTGTAAACTAAAGACATCTAACGAACCAACATGCTGCGTTAATGATCTCTTGCATGCCTATTTTTTAGTGTTTGCTTTGCACCGCTGCAGTGATATATTGCCACCGCTTCTCCTGACTTTTTTCTCTTTTTTTTTTTAAGTGTACAATGTTCGATGAAGTGTTAAAACTAAGTGCAATTTTAAGATATTATATTGCCATCTCATCTTATTAAACGTGATTTCAAAAACAATGCTATTGCCATATTTTACTATGCATTATGATATCATGCATGGCTTCAAGGCAATCGCGTTGTTTATGTATTAGTACATGCATATTACATGCGTTAATGTTTGAGTAAAATATCTTATGTATAATTCGACGTTCCTATACTCAAATCACCACCAAGGACAGCTCTGTCGTCCGCTGTATCGCTCTCTGCAGTTCCATTGTCAGTGGGTACTGCCCCCATCAGCGTCCCTCTCGTCTCACCGCCGCTATCCGTCCGTGTTTCAGCCATGTTCGCGCCGGCCACGAGCATGTCGCACGGGGACCTGCACGGCGCGGCGCACGTGACACAGGCGGAGGCGAGCAGCGCGGGACGCGGCGCGCCGCACGGTGCGCCCGCCTACGTGACAGGTTAGAAAAAGAACCAAATAGAGGAGAGAGGAGTAGAGCGGTTTCGGGAAGAGGAGTAGTTGGATGGGATATAAGATACTGTTGGAGTTGGGGCAGTCTGTTAGAATAAGGAACAGAGGTACTCAAGATGAACATTGATAATGGACACCTTACTTGTCAGGAATGGGAGTCGGTTTTATTTCAATTGCTGAGCTGCTTTTTCGCCCATTTTGTGAATGATCTCCCTGAAAGAAAGACAGTTTCGCGCAGTGATATGTTACGGTTTCGCGGTACAGGTGTTTTGCTATGCTGGGAAGAGTTGATAATCGTTCTGTATGTTGTACCGCCGGCTGTGACCTGACCTGACCTCCGCTCCGGCCCGCAGCGGCAACCCACTCTGCACCGGAGGAGGAGAGCATCGCCATGCTGTCCCAGATGCTGCAGAACGAGGCGCAGCGCCACCAGCGCGAACAGCGCGTCACCTACGCGCCGGCCGCCGGCGTCTCGGCCAAGCCCGTCACCTCCAGCGCCGACATGATGTCTGAGCTGATGGACGGCTCGGCGGCCGGCGGTGGCCCGCGCGTAGACGCCGGCCGCTCGGGCGGTGGCGCCGAGCCGGCGCCCCCCGCCCAGCAGGTGTATCTCGAGCCGACGGGCGGCGCACCGGCCGGAGCCGCGCCGCGTATCAGCATCGACCACCTGCTCGGTCTGCCGGGCTTCAGCGGCCCGATCGCGCCGCACTTTCTGGCGCCCCGTCCGGCGGTGTTTGTGCCCCACCCGGCGCACCGCGGACAGGCGCCGCCCGCCTCGGTGGCCGGCGTGCCCGTCAGCGCGGCGGCGTCGGCAGCGGCCGCGGCCGCGGTGGCGGCGGCGGCCGGAAAACAGGACGAGGCCGAGAAGGAGAACGGCTGGCAGCGCACCGAGATCAAGCGCGAGCCGGGCGGCGGGCCGGAGGAGGCTGCGCGCGGCCTGCTGGCGCTCCACAAGCAGCACTACCACAGACTGGGGACGGAGGCAGGACAGCCGGGAGCCGCCGACAGCGACGAGTAAGTACCGAGGGCACGCCGCACCGGCCGCCAACGGTCCGGGCTCCGCGTGATGTCCGAATGAATGGGTCGCTTTGGTTGCCTTGCGTGTAGAATTGCTTCATGTGATGTTGCCTGCACAGTGCACGGCTGTTCACGCGCACCCTACTTGCCATTTTCATTCCTAATTCGCCTATGTTAGCTGTTTCGTTAACAACTTTTCTTCCGAAGCAGCCAGGTTATGTGGTGCTCCTCATAAAGTCCCCCTTGCTTTGTGACCATCACCTTTGTGACTATCACCCTCCACTACTTAGCACCCTCTGTGAAGACCGGTGGTGCGCTGACCCGCTCGCCCACCCCGCCATGACTCGCGTGCACAGCTGGTGTTGCACAACGGCTGCGCGATCGGACACACCGATACGGGTTGGCCGTGACCGCCCAGCGCGCGGCCGGTCTCCGCAGGTCGTGCCGCCGCGTTGATGGCCGGGCCGCTGCGCCGGGGCGGTGGCTTTTTTGGGGCGAGGCTAGGAGATGGTGTCGCCGTCTGGTGAGCGCTGATGATAGGCTGTAGTGGTGGCGACGGCCACGGGGGCAGTGCCGTCGTGGCGAGGAAGATTTTCCTATTGAAGGTGCGTTTGCTGAAACCGTTACCCGGCTGTATTAGACTTTGGGAAGTCGGGTAATCGTATGCGAGAGCGTATCCAAACAGTAAGATCTCCTTTCCATCAGTCACGAGCAATAGGTGAGTGTGATGGATGCGAGCGATCCTGATTACCGTCTATTTAAGAGTCAGGATCACTCAGTTTAGAGTCTTTCATATTTCAGCCTCCATATTGTAGAAGAGCATCAACTCAAGGAGTTCTCACTTTTATTATATCCAGGTCATTTAGCTACGCGGTTACAAGATACCTTCCCTGTTTTTATTTCCTTAAATTGACAAATATATTTATTCACATTTTCTTATCCATAAGGCGATATGCAAGGTAGTATCATATGTCCTTTCCAGGGAACTTAACACTCTTAACTTTTTCCGCCAAGTTTTTTCCTTTCAAGGTTGTGCAACAAACTTTCTAACTTAAATTATGCCTTCCCCATCCCACACTGTCTTCCATTTCCCATTTTAGTGTAGAGTAAGCTCGATGTTGGCGAGATAATTCAATTAAAGAAACGACAAAGGCTGTTTAGTGTTTACTACCCGCGGAAGTTTCCGCGACACTGCCAAGTGCAGCTTGAGGCATAGTTTGTTGAAAGGGAATGTCCATTTAAACAGGAAATTAGGCTTTTCATGTAGGTCGCTAAAATGAGGCTTAGACTAATTTATATGCGCTAAAGTCTTGAAGTACATCTGAGAATTGGCTCTCGTTACTAATTGGACCTGCAGCCATATTCAGTTCCCGTGCAATAACAGGCAGCTTGAGGGTCCTTGCCCACCTTTGCCGTTGCAACGGTGTACCACTAACGTCATGCCATCACTGAGCCGCTGTAATTCCTTGCCATGTTATTGGACCCTCCCCTCAGGCTGCGAAAGGCTCGCGTGCTGTTGCATCTGCTCAAATCCGTCCCCAAATGGGCGGTTCAACAGGACGTGTGCCAGGTTTTTCCGGTCGTCACCAACAGTGGATTCTCCCAGTAACAACGGTACCCGTTGTTGTCATCTGTGGGGTCAGTTACGTTAGTTACGTTAGTTACGTTAGTTACGTCACTTACGGTGTGACATGAGCGGGCCGCGGATGGTGGATTCAGTCTCCGCGTGGTGTTCCCCGATCGATACCCGCGGGTGGGCCTCATGGCCGCTGCTGAGCCCCCGTGCCGCGACACAGCCAGCACGCCTATATGAACAGTAGGGGCGCGGAGAAAAGCGACAGAGTGAGAAAAGAGAGGGAGGGAGGGAGAGATGGGATAGGTTTGGATAATTTTGGAACCGTTCGATGTTTTGATAAAAGCGGCTCCAGGTGTGCAGTAGCCATAAATAAATTGGTACTGATTAGTTGTTGCACGGAAGACTTTCGATTTTCGCTAGACGTAGAGTCTGTTTTCTAGCACTGACTACCAAAAAGTTTGGCTTTTGCTGGGCAAAACAAAACACATTGTCCAAGGGCGAGGTGACTGAACTTCAAATACGTATTAAAGATCTATCCCCGAAAAAGTGGACCCATTTCGTGGACCCGTTCCACCCATCGGTCTACATAAGCAATAAGCATACCGGTGCCTTTTCGATCCTCTCAATGGATTTCTTCACACGACTGCTCCGGGGCGGTCCGCAACTGCGCACAACTGCTTTTATCGCGTCATTTTCTCGAGCTTTTCTGTAAAGCCTCTCCGCCAGCCGTTTCCTAGCTGGGCGCTTTGTAATTGTTTTTCGCCTAATCCTTGCCTTTCAACGACAAAGCTTTTGGTAAAAAAAAAAAAACTATCCTCCCGGTTATATTAATTGTCCACACTAGATTTCAAGAGTCCTCAAATATTGTAGGGATGACCGTACTTCGCACGATACCAGTTAGGGCCAGAAAAGGATAAAGTCTTTCCGTTGGTTCTAGTTTCATAACAGCGCTGCGAAAGTGTTATAACCCTGTGGTTCATGATACGATAAACACTCACGGTAGATGCAGCCCATCTTCATAACCAACTTTGCCCATTTGGCCGTTCCCTAACAGCTCCATAATTTTGCTGCCATCCGGCTATTCAGATGTAGTTGGTTTTACCCACCTTTTGTCTGCTGTTTGGACTTTGCTTTTAATATGTCACCACCCTCATTCAGCTGTTAAATTTTGCATACCGACGATACTCGCGTATCATGTTCAGTGAAGTACAAGACACCTGAATGTTCTAGCTGAGCTAAGATTGTCTAAAAGTAAACTAAGTTATATAGAGCTAAGATTGTCTAAAAGTAAACTAAGTTATATAGTGACACCGTATCTCTTCAATTGTGGTATCACCTTTATGTATTGTTATAATGAAAGAGAACATTGACCAATTATCCTCAACGTTAGAAAAATGTGAAATAATAATGAAATAGTCTTATTTTTATTTAAATCAGCAAGTATGTCGATATATTTCGGGTACAACCCTTTATCAATCGTTTTTGGTAGCAATTGATAAAGGGTTGTACCCGAAATATAACGACATACTTGCTGATTTAAATAAAAATAAAACTATTTCATTTTTATTTCACATTTTTTCTAACGTTGAGGATAATTGGCCAATGTTCTCTTTCATTATAACAATGTTATTCCTCACAACGCTCAAACACCTTTATATATTGTCCGCTCTTAGGAGACAGATTGACATCTCGCAGGAAGGCGTTATGTAATGTGGACGGGCGCTGTGCGATCCCTGCACGGTGCGGGGGCTTTGAGAGCACCTTACAGGGAAGTGCGGCTGTGCCGGGGTGCCGCCAGGTGGACTCCCAGCGGCAACTGCCACGAGTTTGAAGTAGCAATACTGCTTCAGTCTACCAGGCCCCTAGAGGTCATATCCATCCATGACACTGTAACCATGTGGGCGGGCGGGCAGGAGGCCGCCTTTGGAGTTTTGTCTCCGTTCTGAGTTAGTCGGGCGATTGTTCTCCGGTTGGCGGTGTTTTGGTGATACGGTTAGGGGTGACGGCCGCGGCCAGCCGCCGGTGGAGCGCGGTTATTGGTGTTGCCGTGTTATTACACGGGCGGCCGCGGCCGATGTGTGACCACCGATAAGGACTGCGCGGTCCGCCGCCGTCCCTGCCCCCGCTCGCCGACGGTACTGGACAGGGCTGCGGTGCCGGAGAGCGGGGAGGGAAGGATGACGGTCGGCTGTGGGCTGGGTGGCCATAATCACTGGAGCCATACGGTGCCAGGCGGATTCGACAAGATAAAGTAGGCAGTAGGCACCTCCTCAACCAATCATGGTAATTTTTTTTTAAACAATTCGCAATTAGTTGACTTGCGCCATGTGTATAGTGTATACTGTATAGCTCTAGCACACGTCAAGGCGATGGTCTATCACATGAAGCCGGGGGCGGGGAGTTTGCTCCCTATTTCGGCTATTGACTCGCTTATGCGAGGTAAGCGTTGTCCTAAAGCGCGTTGAAGATATAATTATAAAAGCACTTCGTTTATTTTTATGCAATTTCTGTCCAGGGCTTCAGCTGTCAATTGGTTGCTATTGAGGTGATAAGTCGGATGCCATGTAATTCCATTGTATCCTCTGTTCCACAGGTGACGACGAACCCGGTCCTGGCTCCTATCCTCTCCTCCACCGTCCGCTGCCGCCTCCTGACTGTCCTGACCAGGTGAGCCATCCGTCCGTGACGGTCCCGCCAGTATCCATTATCCCTCCCCGTATCCGTAACGGTAGGCATTCCTACCTCCCCCCCCGTGACGGTCCCGTCAGTATCCATTATCCCTCCCCGTACTCGTGATGGTCGGTATCCATTATCCCTCTCGGTATCCGTGACGGCTGGTATCCATTATCCCTGATACTGTGACGGACCCGGCGGTATTTATTATCCCTTTCCGTATCCGTGACGATCCGGCCTGTATTCATAACCCCCGGTACCTGTGACAATTCGGCCGGTATTCCTCGCCCTTCATCCCATTACTTTTAATCCAACTATCACTCTGAATACTTTGTGTAGGTTACAAGTAAACAAGCGGGTTTTATTTCCACCTCGCAATAGGGGAGTTCCAATCCTAGCTCACCACTGTTTTGACAAAAAAGGCAGTCGACTTCCCCGTCATTATCGCTGGCGCTAATGTGGTGAGACCAGGAAATGACCCCGTTTAGACTAGCGACATCACGTTGGTGTCGGATGTCCGTCTGGGCCAGTCACCGCAACGCAAACATAACTGAACTGTTGGTGTCGGCCGCGCGTAGCCTTGAAGGCAGCTCGGGTTTCCAGTTGCCGGCCGATTCGACGAGCGGCGGCGGTACCCGCCTGGGAAATTGGTTCATAACGTATTAGGAGGGAGGAGATAACTGGGAACTCTCTCTTCAAAGTTCAGATAATGGTTTTGATATCCGCAGTCGCTCATTGGCCTGGAGGGGAGAGAGGAGGGTTTCTGCTGTCTGCCGTGATGGGGCTAAACCTCGGTATTTTTATTTATCACGCGGATAAGTGGAAAACTCATGACTATCAGAGCGCTGAGTGGTGTATATCCATTACCATAATGTGTGATGGAAGCTGGCACGGCTGGGCGACGGGCTCTATGCTGGCGTCAGCACCCGGCGCCGCTCATTACCCCGTGTCGGTCGGAGGGGGCGCTCCGCCGTGCGCGCTCCTCCGGGGCCGCGCGGTGGCGGGCCGACCGCCGGGGAGCTGGACCATCTCCGACCGACCGATACTCATCAGCCAGGACCGCCGGCTGTCGATCACTGTGCGTGAGCAGGGACCCTTCTGCCAATCCGGCACCATTACGGCCGCGATGGAGCTGCGATGGGCCGGCTGGCTAGTGGGTATTGGGGCGGAATAGGCGGTAGATATATGCCCAAAGGAGATTTCGCGCAGAGGTTAGATGTGCTGAATGGGGTGGAGTGGATAAATGAAGGCAGAAGAGAGGAAGAAGGGGATGTCTTTAATAGGAGCTAGAAAAGTTGGAAGAGGAGAAATCAGAAGGATCGACTTGTAGCGTCCTTGCCGGCCTGCGGCTCGCGGTGTGCTGGCCACGCGACCGCAGCATCTGGGGTATGTGCCGTCGGCAGGACCAAGCAGATGATTTGCTTGATCTTGAATTGTGGGGAATAAAACCTTTTTCTGGTCTCAGGCAGGTACAAAAGATCCTGCTATCCCTTACATATTCACACTATCACCTAGCACCTGGAAAATAACCCTCTGTATTTTCCAGCGTTTGTGATAAAACTGTTAAACACGCGCAGTGGAAGGGGGGGGGGCGGATTTCGCCCACCCCTCCTGTTTTTCGCCAATAACTCGCGCCGCAAGCATAATATCAATGTGAAATTTCGGCTACCTGTCCAGAATTGAACTGCGGATCTTCCCGTGCAAAAAGTAAGAAAATCGGTTCACAACTTTTCTAGTAATAGCGGTGTAAAGTCAAACATCCTGCCGCCGCGGCGGCGCGGCGGCCGGCGCTGGCCGTTACGCGCCGCCTGAATTGTAGACTGTGCCGGGGCGGGACGGTTCCGTCTTTACATCGCGCTCCTTACCGCTGATTATATTGGATTCGCGTCAAATTCGATGAGAAGACTGAGAAATGTACAGGCAATCATATGGTCAAAGAATTTTGAAAATCGGCCGGTAACAACTTGAGTTATGCGTGTGTAAACACAAAATTGTGATTGCCGCGTTTCCCGCGTCGGCCGATCCCGCTTCAGCCGGCGACATCTTACCCTTAGCAGGCTTCTAACTGCCATATTTATTGTTGGATTATCTAGAAATTCACCATACTTACTCACAAATGTTTGTTCTTTCGTATAGTGAAAGATTTAAGAAAATCGGCCGGAAACTCTTTGAGTTATCGGCGTGTAAACGCAAAAAAGTCGCTAATATGGCAGATTTGACCACATTTGACCTCATTTGACCTTGAAGATATTGACCTAGGGTCATGAAATTCACACACAACAGAGTTCCCCATAGCCCCCACCTACCCTCCAAATTTCGTCTTTCTAGCTCCAGTGGGAGCTGAGATCTTGGGGGGGGGGGCGACATCCGCCCCCCCCCCTTCCACTGGGCGTAGTACTCGCAACCCTTCCACTGCGCGTGTTAAAAAAGAAATCAGGACCGATATTGGCAATGCCAGCAGGCAGCACTGGTCGTGGGTAGAGGGAAATGGTGCAGAGTTCCGGCAGTGAGATTTAATATGAACGTTAGCTACGCCAACACACCAGTGATGAGCGAATTATATCTTATTTTGCCGATTTCTGGAAGCTTATGGGCAATATTGAGGCAGGACGAATCATCCGGCTCGCGAGTTATGGCCGATTTAGTTGGAATTATCCCAGCTACGCTCGGATGCACAACCACGCGCCCACGCGTATGCCTTTGATCAGCGTACGAGTGTTGAGCTGGAAGGCATGCGTTCTTTGCTGACCGGGGCCAATGATTGTTTTTCCCTGCTTTGTTTGAGACCTGCCTGACGCCTGTTATTTGCTTGATCAGGCTGCTTTTGAAGAAACGCGCGCATTCAATGTGAGCACTGGTGCCGACGGCATCAATGTTGGCATATTTTGCTGGCGTCAACTGCAAACCAATATGCCCCGCGCCTCTGCTTTCTGTTTGGTGTGGTGTCAATGTCTGGCCTATAACTGCTTGGAACTGAGCGAAGTTGTGTGTTAGTGTGGAACTCCACCTTTGAAATTGCTAGTTTTGTTACCACTGCCTGTTACGGTCTGTTTGCTTCTATGATTGTTTTACTCTTTGCTCGAGGTTGGGTTATTCAGTTTTATCGGCGGTTGTTTTACTTCTTATATCCTTCATTAATTTATTATTAACTAGATTTATACGAGGCTCTTATTTACACGCACTGACTTTGGAGCACTCATTTCTATAATGCAAAAGCTCCTAAATTGTAACTTGTGTAAATTTACCGCAGATATTTCTGAGTTGTCCATAATTCAGATTCCGACTATCTTTTGGGAACCTTTCCGACGTAAAGTTACTCTCAAAGTTACTCCCAGTATATTTCATTCAGTCCAGATTCTAACTCCCTCCCTCGAGCTCCCCTGTGCAGCTCCCCCGTGCAGCAGCTGCGCTGCCCCCCCCCCCCCCGCCCCCGCTCCCGGGCCGCTCGTGCCGCGGAGTGCCACTGCACCCGTTCGCCGGGGCTGTGCCTGCCGCAGATTCAAATGTGACCTGTGTGACGTCAGGCTCAAGAGGAAGGCGCACATGGCCCGCCACCGGCGCATCCACACCAACGAGCGGCCGCACGTCTGCACCGTCTGCTTCAAGGGATTCATCCGGCGCGAGCATCTGCAGCGGCACCTCAAGATTCACGGTCAGTGCCGGCCCGGCCCGGACGGGGGAGGGGTGCCGCAGGGGGCGTGGGGTGCGGGTAGGGGGGGCGTTCCACGACAAATCGACAAGTGCCCTGCACCCTCATATTTTATTTTTTGCTTAGAATTGGTCTAATGGGTTGTGATGGGCGAGGAAGCCAGCTGTGGCAAGGATTTTTTTCTTCGAACAACGGTTTCCGAGATATAGCCTCGGGCAATTCTTGGAGTTCGCGCTGCAGCCCTATGTTTGGCGGCCTATAACTCAGAAACTATTGGTTTTTTACGATAAAAACTGCATATGGTTCAACTCGCAATCAACCAACAAACATTTTGGCTATCTCGGATTTTCAATTTTTGAAAATTTTAATCACGTGACCTTTTGTCCTATTTTTCGAAGAGTGACCTTGATATTTTCCCCACTGAAAGTTGCAATTTTGTCTGATGACGATTAAAGCCTTATCAATTGTCATTCATATACGATAATAAAAAAGTGGTTATCGCCCTGCGTTGACCTCAGATCAGGTCATTTTTATGACCTGTCTATTATTACGAGCGGGATCGACAGCGAGATCTCAAGAATAAAGCAAGATAGCGACAAGCGGTAAACGGTAAAGGGTACACACGGATAAGGTCTATAATTTTTACTGAGGTCATTTTCAGGTTAGGTCAAAGATGACGTCACAGGAGCTAAAAGGAAGTCAAAATAGCGGCACTATACATATATATGAAGTTTTTCTCGAATAACTTTCAAGGTATCCCAGCTAGGAACAAACTAATAGCACCATCGTGATCCTCTCGTCGATCCGCATCGAAGCATATGTTTGTTGACCTCGAAAGGTCGAAAGGTCAAAAGTTGACCTTAGGTCACGTGATCTAAGGCCAACTTTTGACCTTTCGACCTTTCGAGGTCAACATACATATGTTTCGATGCGGATCGACGAGAGGATCACGATGGTGCTATTAGTTTGTTCCTAGCTGGGATACCTTGAAAGTTATTTGAGAAAAACTTCATATATATGTAAAGTGCCGCTATTTTGAGTTCCTTTTAGCTCCTGTGACGTCATCTTTGACCTTACCTGAAAATGACCTCAGTAAAAATTATAGACCCTATCCGTGTGTACCCTTTACCGTTTACCGCTTGTCGATATCTTGCTTTATTCTCGAGATCTCGCTGTCGCTCCCGCTCGTAATAATAAACAGGTCATAAAAATGATCTGACCTGAGGTCAACGCAGGGCGATAACCACTTTTTTTATTATCGCATATGAATGACAATCGATAAGGCTTTAATTGTCATCAGACAAAATTGCAACTTTCAGTGGGGAAAATATCAAGATCACTCTTCGAAAAATAGGACAAAAGGTCACGTGATCAAAATTTTCAAAAATTGAGAATCCGAGATAGCCAAAATGTTTGTTGGTTGATTGTGAGTTGAACCATATGCAGTTTTTATCGTAAAAACCCAATAGTTTCTGAGTTATAGGCCGCCAAACATAGGGCTGCAGCGCGAAATCCAGGAATTGCCCGAGGCTATATCTCGGAAACCGTTGTTCGAAGAAAAAAATCCTTGCCACAGCTGGCTTCCCCGCCCATCACAACCCCTTACACCAGTTTTCAACGAAGAATAAAATATGAGGGTGCAAATTTAATTTTTTATTTGTCGATTTGTCGTGGAACGCCCCAGGGGCGGGTAGGGTGTAGTTGACTTGGTTTGGTGGGGTTTGCTGGGCTTGTTATGCGGGATAGTGGTCAGGTGTTTGTAATGGAACCATTCTTGGAGTATCTAGTGAGTAGTGTTGATGGCGCTGCCTTTCTCCTGAGTGTTACGGTGAGGGGTGTGCTCGTATGAGTAGATAACGTCGTAGTCACCTGTGGGAACCCACGGCGCGAGTTGGGTACTGTAGCGATGCCGCACAGCACTCGTCCACCGCTGATTGGCGTCGCTGAGCGCCGTCCTGAGCCGGCGCCGGTGTCTGGGAGGGTCCCGTAGTCGGGGGCGCTGGGTGGGTAGGCGGGGGTGGGTCGGGCAGGCGCCCGCGGCTGGGGACCCAGCGCCCTCACCGGGCTGCTGGGCCGCTCGCAGGCACCCGGGAGCCCAGCGAGCGCACCCACGTCTGTACCGTCTGCTACAAGGCCTTCATCCGGAAAGAGCATCTCCAGAGACACCTCAAGATCCACGGTCAGTACCGACCGCCGCCGCCAGCCGCCCGCCGCCCGCCGCCCGCTGCCGTCCCCTCCGCTCCCGTCCCCTCCGCTCCCGTCCCCGCCCCCCCCCCCCCGGGTCAGAGGTCAGGTCAAGGTCACGCGCTGGGCCGCCGGGGCGGGGTGGGTGCCAGTTTGGGATTGGGAGGGGTGGTGCCTGGTAGTGGGTCGTATGGGCTCGGCTGTAGTGCGGGAGGAAACTGGGATGTGACAGTGCATTGCTAGTGGTTATTGGCTCGATAGATTCGGCTGCCAATAATGGAAAGCGAGACCGGTGAGAAGGGCACCTGTGGTTGGGTCTCAGTCTTATCACTGAAAATAGTAGTCGTACGGAAATTGCCATCTTGCTGTATTTTTCTTGTAACTTAACTTTGTGGGAATTGGACTGCTTCTCATCCTTGTTATTTTATTGGTGACATAGGTACCTCACAAAAGCGTCGCGACTGGTAAGCAGATATGTTTTATCAGAACATCCTATATGTATTTCGCAAACTGGCTCAGCAGTCACATGCCTTTATGAGAACATTTCAAAGCGAAAAATTAAGTTTTGTTTTATGCATTCGAGCGAAGGTAACTACAAAATAATAATAAAAATACCAGCGGTCTCGGTGGCAAGGAGCCTTTGGTGGAAGATAGGTACGGTTCTACTGTTATCTATGGTAGGTATTATGCAAGTATTATGAAGAAGAAAATAAAGTTGCGCAGGTTGTCATAACGCAACATATTACTAATGTGATCGGTGAATAATTTGATCTAATTAGTAAGTCGTACATTGTTACAACAATGCACTAATGAATTAGATCGTCGTAATTTATTTCAGGTTTTGATATAGATACGTAACTTTTTCATTTTACCTACCTATCCACTGATGAAAGCACGCTGTTGCGGTCTCGTATTTTAGGTTTATTTAGACATTACCTGCAATCGAATGCACCCAACCAGTCAAATATTGCACAATGGTTCTTATGCTTCAGGTTTTCCATACAATATGTTGAGTTCCAGCTTAACCCTACCAGTATAACGCCTTTTGGGGCGACTAACGGAGCGAGCGAAAGGGTGGGCCTTGCACGTGCGAAATTGTGAGGGGGTACCTCCAACTGACTTGTGCACGGCACCCTACTAAACGGTCTCTAGCGATGTGCCAAATTTGGGCACAATCGGCCCAGCCGTTCTCGAGATCTGGAAGCGGCACCCTGCACGTGCGCACGTGCAAAATGGGTCCCAACTGACTTGTGCACGGCACCCTACTAACCGGTCCCTAACTGTGTACCAAATTTGAGCGTAATCGGTCGAGCCGTTCTCGAGATCTGGAAACGACCCCTGCACGTGCGCACGTGCAGCAGCACCCCAACTCTGGCACATGGATATGCAGTGTCTAGTGGGTGCCTACCTACATGCCAACTTTCAGCGCAATCGGCCAAGTAGTTACCGAGATATTGCAACAATTACAAAACTGACACCTCTTCGTTTTGCACGTGGCACGTGCATAAGGGGTCACCCACATGCATCGGGAATAGTCCAATACTTGGTAGAAGGAATGAAGCTACCCTACAAAATTTACCGCATGTAAATCGGTCAAGTGGTTGCTGAGATATAAGCCTCGCAAAAGCGTGACCACGGCCGGCCGGCCGGCCGGCCGGCCGCTCATACTCAGAAATTTCCGTTAATCTAAGGAAAGACTACGCTCGCTTCGCTCGCTCCGTAATTAGTGGCAGGGGGGGGGGGGTTGTTTTTATCCACCCCTCAGGTTTTTCGGGAATATCTCCGAAACCGCTGAAGCTACGATGCTGAAATTTTCTGACTTTTCCTAAAACTAAATTGGGCACATTCCCTGAAAATTTCAAGTTCATAACTTTACCAGGGGCGGCTCCAGAGCACTGGGAATTGGGGGGTCCTATTCGTGAAGCGAGTCATTTGGGCGAAGATCACGATGCTGCACCAGTTTTACGAACAGCGAATGAAAGGTATCATGTGATGACATATACAAAGTTATTGTGCATCCTCTTTTGACACGTTTTTGCTATAATAGGCGGATCCAGGCGTCCAAAAAGGGGGGTTATTTTTTACCTCCCAACATAGGTGCCCTGACACCGCCTATGCATGACCAATACAATTTTAGTCGTTCTCTCATAAGAAAATTGTAACATAACAAGACCATTGCCACCCTTTTTAGAAACAGTATCAACAAAAACCTTATTTACTATACTTTTTGTGTACCCCCAATCTCAATGATCTGTATCCGCCTATGATTTCTGAAAATGCATATTTTTAGGATCCATGTGAATTCCTGGTTCATTCTCTATCGATCGGCAAAAGTTGCGTTAAGATTGGTTCAGAAACCTGGACCTCGTTTCATAAAGCGAGTCCGTAACTTACGCCGGTTTTTGGTCTTGTATTGCAAGTGCATGTGAAGTAATGACGATAGTTTGAATCGTTGAATTTATTTATCTTGCAAGCAAGAACAGAAGGGAGAAGGGGAAATAGATTCATCACTTCACATGCACTTGCAATACAAGACCAAAAACCGGCGTAAGTTACGGACTCGCTTTATGAAACGAGGCCCTGGCCGTGATAAACAGTCTAAAATGTATCTGCAATTTGCCCATTTTTATCCCCCTCTACCCCCCTATTGACATTTTTTAATTTTATATTTTTTAGAAATGTAGATCTCGTTGAGCCAAATCGAATGCCGTTTGAATTTTGAAAATCGGCCGGTTAGATCTCGAGATATCAAGGGGGGGTCGTAAACAGCCCCCCCCCCCTGCCACTAATATGGGGTAGCCAGGAGCCTGCCACTAATAGGGTTAAGCAATCGACAATATTTCCTGGGTTATTTTACTTGCTGAAATATTGTCAATACACTATTTTTTGGCTGTTTATTTTTTCTGTTTGCCTTTCTTTCTTTCTTTCTTTCTTTCTTTCTTTATTTCTTTCTTTCGTTATTTCTTTCTTTTTCTTCGAACCGATAACTAGACAGAGTAGATTAGTTTTCTATTTGCGTCAGCTGCATTGACTCAGAGTTTGTCGTTTAGATGATTTCCAATAGGATAAACCAGTCCAGTGCAATGCTCTTGTATACGGATACGTGCGCTCGACAAGTCGACATTGAGGAGCGCCATACGAGCCGTAGCTCGCTTTGAGAAGTGATTGTTGGCCTTTTTAGCAGAAGAGGCCTTTTTCTCCTGCTTTTGCGTTGTTGCTAGTTGCATTCCACCCTGGCAATATCCGTCCCACGATATAGGGTGCCTTACAATAATGCACCACATTTCAAGAAGAGGCCGCTTAAATAATTTTATTGAGATATTTGGAAGCAGCCGCCGCCAATAGAAAACAGCTTCATGCTACTTATTGCCCTGCCAGAGGAAAAATAGTAAGCACCTGTCACCTGTCACTTGTCCCCTACATGTCTACGGCATGAAGGGGACAACCTACTCGATAAACATTTTTTTACCTCACGCGCACCCTGAGCATTGCTCTCAGTGCCAAACGACCACACATCTCAGCCTGTGAGGCCGATGACGGCAGCGCTGATCTTATTCTTCATATCCTCCAGAGTCTCGGGCACGGCGCCATAAACCTTTTGATGTCTGTTCGGTCATAAAGATAAATCTAAGTTTGTTGAGTTTGGTGAGTGGGTGGTTAACGACCTCCTTTTGGAGATGATGTGACCCTCGAGGTGCTCCGACAACCACTCAGTTGACTGACGAGATGTTCGGAATGCTGCTTCGTTTTATCGCAGCCACTGCTGGTACAGATTGCAGCTCTGCGTGTGTGCAGAGCACACTGAAAGGTTGTAACACCTTGGGACCGCTTTATCTCCAAAATGAAAGCCGTCAACCTACCTGCACTGTCACCAGACCTAACATCCTTGGATTTCTTTCAAGTGAGAGTTGATGTCGAAAGGTGCGTGGAGCGGTGCTGGAGAGTGGAAGATCTGAAGAATAGAATCAGGGTTACCATTTACAGCGTCAAAGGAAGGTCTGTGGCCGGTGGGTGCAGAAGGCCGGAAGTGCCTGGTGCTGACCATTTTACTATGGCGTGACAAACATGCTAGCATGAAACGTGCTTTCTTTTGTTTAGCTAGCTTCAAAATGCTTTAATTAATATTGAAGATATGACCTTTTAAATTTTTGTAGATGTTTGATTTGGTATTTCTATTAGACACCCGGGCGTCTGCAGTTCAGGGTAAACAGTCCCGCGAAATTTGTTTACTCTTGCATAAGATGGTGTATGTTTTGTCGTCATATAAAATTTAAAAGTTTATTGCCGCAAAAGTAAGACAACTATCGTTTTCAACCTCCCAACGCCTTTGTTAAGATTGTTATTTTCTGCATCATCTTTTGTTGGGTATTGCTGACATTAGGGCTATAACCTTGGTAACTTTCCGGGCTCTGTATGTACGTCATCCATTATATTGTCAGCAGTAGACATATACAATTATCCCGGCTAAGAAATCCCTGGAGTCTCCACTCAAACACTGAGTGTTTATCTGCTAGCTCAATTACGCCCAAGGTAAACGCACCTGCCAGCCCGCGAGGGACCCGAATTATTGCATTCCCGTGTACATACATGTCGAGAGCAGCCGAGAGGATAGTAGTCCGCACGAGGCCCCGGGGAGGACAGGCGCCAGGCGGGCCCAGCGACCACCCCTCTGATCTTTGGGGCGTCCTTTTCGCTCCCTTCCATTGCAGCTGCTAAGGCTCCCTCCATCGGCCCCATTCAGATCGTGTCATAACAAATTGTCTGAAAGCGGGAGTCGGTCTTGGCAATTTGTTAGTGAAATGCCATTCCTTTCTGATCAGCTAAGTAGCTGATCAGAAGTTGTGTTCACTCTATTTACTGAGCTAGCATTAGCAAGCATCGTGGCGCGGTGCAAGTCAGCTGTCGGGCGAAGGTTCGCCGGCGTCTAGTCGATTGGTGTGGTTTACCGTTCCCCCGTGGTCGTGCCCGCCGAACTAGACTCGATGGCGGCCCTTACTTGGTGACCAGGCGTTAGGCGCCGCGCCCCACCCCATGGCACTGGTCGGAGGGGAAGGGGGGACACCCGGGAATGGCCAGCGCCCTTACCGGGCTGGCGGGCCGCCGGCAGGCACCCGGGAGCCGGGAGAACGCACGCACGTCTGCAACATCTGCTACAAGGCCTTCATCAGGCGCGATTACCTGCAGCGACATATGAAGATTCACGGTTAGTGTTGCCGGTCGCCGTTCGAACGTCGAGCGCCGCGTCCCGAGTCCTTGGTGGATTCCCGAGTCCTGGATGGATTCCCGAGTCCTTTGAGTTCGTGTCCGCGGCACTACGGTTTCCGTTCCGTCCATCCGATCTGTCATGGATCGTCCTTACGGCCTGTCCTCGCTGTCCTGACTGGGTACCACAGGGACAGAAGTCGGTACAGATGTAGGCGATAGTTGGACGCAGGGGTGTGGTATCATCGACCGTGTTATCAGCCTCGAGGTGATTCCAGGCCAGGCTAGCCTCGCCAGTCAAAGGATTCTACACTTCACATCCATTGGCGGCATGGGGACCGCTAGGACTAGGCTAGTTTTATGGGCTGGATAAAAAATTGCAATGCAATAAGCTGCGCTTTTGTTATTGGGAAACGCTGAGTAAGTGTTGTTTGTCTACTTTTTATGGGCAGTAAGGGTGGCTGTATTGTGTTATTGTTGAAATCTGGGGACTGCCGTCGCCCTTACCGGGCTGCTGGGCCGCTCGCAGGCACCCGGGAGCCCAGCGAGCGCACCCACGTCTGTACCGTCTGCTACAAGGCCTTCATCCGGAAAGAGCATCTCCAGAGACACATGAAAATTCACGGTACGTGACGCGTCGTGGTGCCGGGGCGGCCGCCCGTCCGCCGGCCGGGACTTGGGGAGGTGTCGCCGGCCTCTGCGCGCTAGAGCCGCCCGCCGCCCGTCCCACGTCCTCGGCTTGTCCTGTCTGTACCAGGATCCTGCTTCTGTGATCCTGCTGGTGATTATCGGCTTTTGCCGAGACTCCGTGCCGCCGAGCCGAACTGTGGCCCGCCCTCGCCTGTCTGGCCGTTTCGCGATTGGTCTCTGTCGCTCGGGTTTGTCCCGTGGTTCTGCCGCAACCCTAGACCCTGGCCGTGTATGTGACTTACTTGGCAGTCAGTCGCCGTCATTGATGACCTTTATCACGCTTCTGGACGTCATTCGGCCGGTCATGGTCGTGCCTCTTCCCTGATCATGGTAATCACCGTCTTCCGCCATTGGACCATCCTCTCAGAAGCACCGCTACTTTTTCGCCCACCGCTAGTCCTTTTACCAGACAAAGCTAGTCCCCCACTGGATTTGACGTCGAGTCACCGGGTCTATTTACTAGCTGACAGACCACACACTCACAAATCCGGCCGGACTGTGGAAGCGCTGCGCTTTAGGGCGCCCAGAGAGGCGGCGGCAGTCCTCGGAGGCCGGCGCGGGCAGCGAGCTCGCTGTAGACAGCTCGTGGGGCGCGGTTGGGTAGGATAGAGTCCCAACCGAAATCTCGGGCCGGCGGACAGGCAAAGGCATTGACGTTAGGATAGTATTTTTCATGATCCTTGATTATCCCCAATGGTGATTACCTCTGATGCCCTGCCCAACTTTTTCATGAATGTTATGAAAGAAATACTAAAATCCGGGGTTGGTGTACGCACAGACCGCGTTTAGTGTGGTTGAAGGATAAATAAGCAAAGAAACTGGTTACATTGAGCTTAGGAGTAGACAAAGTTAAAGCTTCAGATGTGGCAGTGGTGTAGGGGGTTGGTTAGTCGCTGTGTGTTGGTGTAGTGCCGGGCGGGGCAGAGGGGGCGGCAGGCCACTTGTTTCTCCCCTAACCTACCTCTCCTGTTTCGGGGCTGGCTGGCGGGCCGCCGGCAGGCACTCGAGAGCCGGGAGAACGCACGCACGTCTGCAACATCTGCTACAAGGCGTTCGTCAGGCGCGATTACCTGCAGCGACACATGAAGATTCACGGTTAGTGCTGTTGGTGTCTGCGCGCGCGCCGCTCCCGGTCACTAACTCTGTCTCTGGGCCCGCCGCGCCGCGCCGCCCCGCCAGCGCTAGCGTCCTGCCCCGGAGCTGCCAGGACGCTCTGGGTCGGAGGCACAGATCAGATACACCCCGCCGAAGGACGGCTCGGCGCGAGTGTGACTCTCAGTCGGAGAAAGGTGCTGCTGCTGCCTGTGGTGCCCTGTCGGCCAGTCAGGTCCCGATCCTCTGTTCCGGTGGTGGGCCTCTAACGCTCGCGACGGTCTCTCCTGGCGGTCCTTACAGTTCCCGCGGTCAGAACCAGGCCCACCATATCAGCGGTACAGTAGGTCTACTAAAAAAGTCCCCCGCTCCAGAGGCGGCCGGCCGGCCGAACCCCCGGATTCCAGCCCCGACTCTATTACGCAGGCCGCGGCAGTGACACGGGTCAGGTCGCGGCGCCCGGCGAGTGGGTCAGTTGGCGGCGGCCGGCCGTGGAGTGAGGACGCCGTGTGTGGGGCGCAGAGATGCCGCAGTGCAGAGGAGGGGAAGATAATGACTCTGCACGATGCCGGAAATGATGCCTTTGTGATCGAAGTTAAACACCTGCAGTGCATATCGTCCCTTGCCCCATTCCAATTTTATCATAATCCTTCAATAATCCGTAATGGCCACTCAACGCAAGCAAGCAAACAAAACAACCCGTTTAGCGGCGACATCATCTCGGATAAAAAAGCGACAGTGATGATTATAATAGACTTAGCGCGAGGGCAAATCGAGGGGTATAACTATATGTATCACATACCGATTATTTTATTCCCATCTAGCGAATTAAGATTGGGGATCTTGTCCAATAAGTCAGCGGCCGTTCTAGACACAGATTTTTGTTTTCGCTTTGTTTTCGGTCGCATACAGAGCTTTGTTTTCGGTCGCATAATCATCTGCAGTAATTCGAAGCGAGGTTTAACCCTCGCCGGCCGAGAAGTGGCGGCCATGTATTTTTTGCGGTAGCTCAAAGCACACTGATGATAGAAGGCTGACATTTCACATGCCTTACATTTGATTCAAGCCGGATCACTTGACATCAACCACGTTTTCAGGTCAGGTCACTTAACTATGACGTCTTAAGTAAACCTCTGCACGGTTGTCGGTTATAAAATGATGCAATCCGCGATGCACTTAGTGTCATATAAGCATAATCGGGAATTGTGGAAACTGTTAATTTGGCGTCGGAAATGATCTGAAACTATACCTCAACCACATGAAATCGTGACTTTATTCATTCTTGGCGAGGTCTTATGCTTCACTTTTGCATTGTTCACCTTGCGTGACGTCATTTATGGCGTCACTAGGGTCATAGGAGTGCTTCGTCAATAACTCCTGATCAAAATGAGCTAGCCGGTCTGGACAGCCATCAATGGACTTTTCAAGACTTGCCGAATCAAATGTTAAGCAACATGTCATCCTTTCAACAGCTTCGTGACCTGCGTTGCCCTAACATGGCATTGACCTGAGGTAAACATCCTAAATTGCTTCACCTAAACAAAATAGCATATAAATCGACGTGTCTGAGAACAGAAAACACGATTGTATCGTAATGACGATACTCGTAATGCGACCATTTTTGCGAAGTTATTTACCAAAAACCGATCGAGTGCCTTGGGACCCTTGACCTGCCCTAACTTCTAAGAGATCACTGATATTTTATAATCGGGTACCAGTCGCTGCGTCACGTAACGACGCAAGCGCTCATTTTTTTCCGCGAGGCTCTAGCAGTTATATATTATATTAGGTACCTATATTATAGGAGCTAAACATGGGGTCGGGGAATCGCTCCCTTCTCACTCACTATTTGGCCGGGATAGTGTTTGCAATTATTGTTAAAATCTAGCATTTTAAGATTTCAAATGACCCATTTTTTTCCCGCCCAAGTCTTTCAATTCAGGGTCATAACACCAGGTCACGTCAAGTGACCTGACCTCAAAGAAAGTTCCTGTGCTCATCATATCTAAATACATCGACTAACCGATCGCTTCAGAACTTTCAGCGATTTTAATGGGCCACAGTATATGTATTTGAAACGTGTACTTTGCAAGTTTGACATTGTTGACAGAAAGGCCGGGTCAATTTTGAGATCACTCAAGTCAATGGGAGAAAATTGAACTGCGCTTTTTTGGACGGAACGCATAATAAACACTCTGAAAACATGTGGTGCTTGATGAGATACAATACCGAATGAGAAAATTGTTTGTTTTGTTGGGGGCCATCTTTTTCGGTCTGAAAAGGCCCTTGCAGAGAGCTATGACATAACTATGCTCTGGTGTAGTAACTGGGTTGTGCGAACCAGCGACAGTGATCTGCGGAAGCGTGACTGTTCCCCTGGGACGACTGCCCTGTCGGGACGCTCCAGCCGTCTCCCAAACGGCCACCCGAAGAGGATTATGTGTCCTGGAATGGATCCGACATCAACTACACGTTGGCTGGTGGGGTAACCTCCAGTTCAGAGAGGGAAGCATGAAGACTAGGGGCGATGCGGATTGGTTTTTCCTGAGGATAGCGAGGACGGAAGGAATCTAGCACCCTTGAACCTTCCTTATACTGAATGTATCTTTTTTCTATACTGAATGTATAGAAAAAAAACGCTTAGGAGATTTAACAGCCTGCAGGCTGTTAAATCTCCTAAGCGTTTTTTCTCGACATCGTCAAGGTGTCATTAACAAAAATATGAAATCCGGGAGGATAAATTAAATATAGAAATTGTGGCCAACAGAACATTATCAGTTGCGTTCAACATACTCATAAGCATGTTCACGCACCTAGCTTACATATGAGCCATATAATAATTATTTTTGATAGACATGCTTAAGTTATGAAATCATCTGAAGTGTCTGTAAAGTTCCACGATACAGATCTAATATCCTGCTATGCATTATGACCATTTCTGACAGGTCATGTCTTTGAACATAGGCCAAATTTTTAAATGACCTTTAACCCGCGCGGGGCTGGGGGGGGTAAATTTTACCCCCCCCCTCGCGAATTTTTGCGATATCTCAAAAACGGCGGCGCGCAGCGCCGCCAAACTTTCAGTACCTTTTCTTACATCAATTTGACACGTTCCCTTAAAATTTGAGCGAAATCCGTTGGAAAATTTTTGAGAAATTGACGTTTTAGTGACGTCATGTTCGCCATTTTCGCCTCAAAAACGGCAAAAGTTCAAACGCCGCTAACATCTTCATTTTTAAAGGAATCAAGACGTAACAAAAAAGGTTATACGTAATTTTACTTTGTCTATCAAATGGCTATCTCGGTTTTTTTGAAAATTTTGGATTTTGGCCTAAATTTTTTTTCAAAAAACTAACTTTTTTGGGAAAATCATTATAAAATCCAAAATTTTGAGTCTATCGAAAAAACCGGAATATATGTCATAGAAGTGGTCTATGTGCACCTACATACCAAATTTTAGAAGAATCGGTTCAAAAATGTGGGAGTTATTCAAAATTTTATGACGTCACGACACACAAAATTTTTGAAAAATGACTTTTTTGGAAGTTCTAGACCTCGTACGGAAACAAAAATAGCACCATTCGATTCGCCGTGAAAAACTGCATCAGATAGACACCTTTTTAGGCCTTAAAAACCAACTTCAAAATTTGACCTCACTTGACCTGACCTTGACCTGACCTCGACCTGAAATTCATCCAGAGGTGGTCCATATCACTTATTGAGTGTGCCTATTGAATTCTATGAGTAAAATGACCCATAAAACATGTGTCGCACATGCCCTTTTCTATATTTTGTTTTTTTGGTGACCTGACCTGACCTGACCTGACCTTGACCTTGACCTCTGAATGATATTGTATGCAACGAATATTGTCTTGGTAGCCTAAGAACACGTTTTGGGCGATCAGTCTCAGTCCATGACTCCATTCTTCGGTAACTACGGTGCAAGGCCGATACTGTAAAAACTTGCAATTTGTACCCTTGACCTGACCTTGACCTTGACCTCAAACTTTAAATTAAGTACATGTTAATAGTAGTTCGTGATGAGAGCTTTCGATTGGCGTTTGAATTTTCCAAATCGGACCATTAGTTCGGGAGATAACAGGGGGGGTAAAATTTACCCCCCCCCCCCCCCAGCCCCGCGCGTTCGGCTGGAGACCCCAGCCCCGCGCGGGTTAACCCGGCACCGCCTGGGCTATTTCCGTACCCACGACAGCCTGGGGGGGGGGGTCGGATCCGACCCCCCCCTGTTATCTCGAGAACCAATGGTCGTATCGAGCCCCGCGAGGCGGCGTTCGAAAGGTCTCTACGAGACCTTCCCAAAGCACTCTTAAGATTTTAAGATTGAGGTCAACTTTCGGGTCAAGGTCAGGTCAAAGGTCAAATTCAGGAGTTTTGCATGATTAGGCTTACGGACAGCAGAATCGATAGCTGCTGCTCGAAACTCACCAAAAATGACCTCAAAGGCCTAGTGAAGGTACCATGTGCGTATAGGGGTCATACTAAGTACGGGTCAAGGTCAGGTCAGGTCACGAAAGGTCACGGTTTTCACTTTCTGCTACGTAGGCGTGCGACACATGTTTTATTGCTTATTTTTCACGCCGAATCCGATGATAATGGTTATATGTGACCCCAAGTCACTGTGCTGGTGATAAGTGTGCATTGAAAGCATAAAAAATCGTTTATACCATACATCACTAAACGAGGGCTGAGAAAAAAGGTCAATTTTTCAACTTTTTATTTTTGACATAAAAATGCACTTTTCTAGACGAGCTTTGTCCCAGGAATCTAGTGGTGCCATTTGTTTTCACATGCGATGTTCAGAAGTGCCTCTAATTCACGAAAATGCTTATGACGTCACCATGTCCTATGCATGTTGGAGCTATTTTTTACAATTTGGGGGTCAAAAATCAAGATAGAAAGTTTAAATTTGGGGCATCTAATCTTCTAATAGAGCTCTACAACATATATTCCGGTTTTTTGGAAATTCCCAAAATTTTGGATTT